GGGCTATGAGGAAGATGCATACAACACTAGTTAATCCTCTAGGACAGCACCAAATGCTACCACCCAGTCAAGCTTCTTAAAAAGTCTTTCCTAGGGCCGGGCGCAGTGGCTCATGCCTATGATCCCAGCACTTTGGGAGGCCGAGGCAGGAAGATCACCTGAAGTCAGGAGCTTAAGACCAGCCTGGCCAACATGGCAAAACCCTATCTCTACTAAAAATATAAAAATTAGTCAGGCATGGTGGCACGCGCCTGTAATCCCAGCTACTCGGGAGGCTGAGGCAGGAGAATCGCTTGAACCCGGGAGGGGGAGGTTGCAGTGAGCCGAGATGGGGCCACTGCACTCTAGCCTGGGTGACAGAGTGAGACTCTGTCTCAAATAATAATAATAATAAATGAATTACTTAATTTAATGAAATAAAAAGTCTCTTCTGGGTATCCTCCATCACGAAGTGCATCTGTGGGTGGCTGTGTGTGTGCTCTGGCTTCTACAAGCCCCCTGCCTACTGGGATTAGGGCTCAACCCTAACTAGGGAGCACCTTCCCCAGCTCTGAGCTCCAAGGCCAGTCACCTCAAAAAGGAAAAATCTGCCCCAGGAGATGAGGAGTGAGACTTGGAGATATGTGGTCCTATAGACCCTCCCCGTCCAGCATGTGCACGCTTAGAGAATATGAATGAGCTCATTTAACATAAGCAAGGAGTTCGTATTGGCTGTGCTTCTGAAATCACGCCATGCCACCAAAGCCAAAAAGATGAGGCTCTGGACAATAGCCAGCCATCGCTACCTCCCACCATGGCAAATAGTTCACAGATGACGCTCCAGGTGATCTGATTATCGTACACAGCAATTTTTGAGCATCTGCTATGTGTACTACAAAGAGACCAACAATGGAGTCCCTGCCATCTCGGGGCCACTGTGGAGAGGCATATCAACAGATGACAGGAGTGGTCAGATGACATAAAGAGAAGAGTCACAAGATGACAAGCCACACAGACACAGGGTCATGTAAGAGCCTCAGTCTTAAGAGGCAGAGACGTTGGGCAAAGGGAGTGGTCACGAGTGCTGTTGCTGCCAGGGAGGCATTCCAGGGAGGCTGGAGCTGGACCTTAAAGGAAGAGAAGGACAGAAGTCATTCTTCACATCACGCACTCTCCATGGGTAATTCACATGAATGTCGTGTAATGAAGATAAAGGCATCCAGAAAAAGAATCGCCCGTGGGCGTGTAGATTTCCTTTCCCAGGGTGGCCCCTTCTCAGCCACTGGCACACACAAACACTTCCTACCCTTCCTCCCCAGAGCTGGCCAGCGCAGCAGGCAGCTCGCCTGCCACATATGCAGCTGCCCGAGGGCGCTGTGGGGATGGGTCTGGGTTCAAATCCTGGCTTTGCCACCCCCCAACAAATCCTGGCTTTGCCACCTCCCAACTGTGTACTATGGGGCAAGTCCTGTAGCCGATGAGCTGGGCTGATCATTCTGACCTGGCAGGGCTATGAGGAAGATGCATACAACACTAGTTAATCCTCTAGGACAGCACCAAATGCTACCACCCAGTCAAGCTTCTTAAAAAGTCTTTCCTAGGGCCGGGCGCAGTGGCTCATGCCTATGATCCCAGCACTTTGGGAGGCCGAGGCAGGAAGATCACCTGAAGTCAGGAGCTTAAGACCAGCCTGGCCAACATGGCAAAACCCTATCTCTACTAAAAATATAAAAATTAGTCAGGCATGGTAGCACGTGCCTGGAATCCCAGCTACTCGGGAGGCTGAGGAAGGAGAATCGCTTGAACTCGAGAGGCGGAGGTTGCAGTGAGCTGAGATCATACCACTGCACTCCAGCCCGGGCAACAGAGCAAGACTCCCTTTCCAAAAAAAAATAGCTAATAGGCTGGGCGCGGTGGCTCACGCCTGTTATTCCAACACTTTGGGAGGCCAAGGTGGGCAGATTAAGAGGTTGGGAGTTTGAGACCAGCCTAACCAACATGGTGAAACCCCTGTCTCTACTAAAAATACAAAAAATTAGCTGGGTGTGGTGATGCACACCTGTAGTCCCAGTTACTCGGGAGGCTGAGGCAGGAGAATTGCCGGAACCTGGGAGGCAGAGGTTGCAGTGAGCCAAGATCACGCCACTGCACTCTAGCCTGGGTGACAGAGTGAGACTCTGTCTCAAATAATAATAATAATAAATGAATTACTTAATTTAATGAAATAAAAAGTCTCTTCTGGGTATCCTCCATCACGAAGTGCATCTGTGGGTGGCTGTGTGTGTGCTCTGGCTTCTACAAGCCCCCTGCCTACTGGGATTAGGGCTCAACCCTAACTAGGGAGCACCTTCCCCAGCTCTGAGCTCCAAGGCCAGTCACCTCAAAAAGGAAAAATCTGCCCCAGGGGATGAGGAGTGAGACTTGGAGATATGTGGTCCTATAGACCCTCCTGGCTGAAGAAGCCATGAACCCTGGGGATCAGAAAAAAGTGGCATGTCTGCCCTCAGTGCTGCCGCCTCTAGCTGCTGAGAGCACAGCACAGAGTGCCAAGGCTCTGCAAACTGAGCCTGGTTCAGCCCACAAAGGGGACAGGGGCGGCCTGGCTGGTCTGTAACCTTTGGAAGGATTTTTGACATTTCTGAAGTTGGGTGTGCCAGTGTTTTGTTTTTATCTTGTACTTCCTTCATTGGTAGAAAACAGATTGAAAAAAATCTTAAAACATTGATGACCCTGGATCAGGGCACATGCTCTCCCAAACTGATTTAGAATTGTTGCATGGTCCCAGGGCAAATCTAAAGTTAAAAGACCTTATTTGCCACTAGGTTTTAAAAGCTTCAGGCAGCGGGTTTTGGATCATTTAATAAAAAATAAAACCCAGGTCAGATGCAGTGGCTCACATCTGTAATCCCAGCACCTTGGGAGGCCGAGGCAGGCAGATCACCTGTCAGGAGTTCAAGACCAGCCTGGCCAACATGGTCAAACCCTGTCTCTACTAAAAATACAAAAATTAGCCAGGCATGGTGGCACTCACCTGTAGTCCCAGTTACTCGGGAGGCTGAGGCAGGAGAATCGCTTGAACCCAGGAGGCAGAGGTTGCAGTGAGCCGAGATTGCACCACTGCACTCCAGCCTGGGCGATAGAGTGAGACTCTTTCTCGGAAAAACAAATAAATAATAAAATAAAATAAAACCCAAAAGGCACAGGTTACCCATTCTGTGTCCTCTCACATTGCTTCCCTGAACCCACAGGGCTGGAGGAAAACAGGGCTCTGAAGCCCTCGGTCACGTGGTTCTCAGGACCCTGGCAAGGTAGTTTACTCACCTTTGGCAGCATGACCTGCCTCCAGTATTTCTGCGAGAATTAAGGGAGCTGCCATACGTAAAGCAAACACTACTGAGGCTTTGAACCTCGCTGTCTTTGAGGGGTGGATACTGGTGAGAAACACAGGCTTATACGTAACTGAGAACAGGTGGGAGTGTGGGACTCCCATCCGAGAAGCGGCAGCAGCTGACCACTTCCTCAACCCTCAACCCCTCACAGCCACCCCTACAGGCCCACCACCACCAGCTGAATTCCCTTAAGTACTTTATTGTATACTCAGATCCCCAACTGGCTTCCCAGTGACAGCACAATATAAAACCACAAACCACCTGTATTTTACAGAGTATCTGGAAAGCATGCCGAAAATGTAACAAACCCAAGTTGGAGGTTTTGTCTGAAGACTATAAAACCAGTACTAGGACTGCGCAGAGCACAGCAGGACCTGGTTTCTCTCTCTGAGCTATTTTCTGAAAATGGGCCAGGACCCAAATGCACACACTGGGCTCCCAGGCAGGCTACCCACATCTCATTCATCTGGGAACATCAGGAGGCCAGAGAGGCCCGGGATCCACTGCAGTTTGGTGCTGGAGCCTCAAGTGTGTGCGGAGGAGAGTGTGGAGCCCCTACAGGCCCGAGGGCACTGCCTGCCAACCCCATGCCCCCACCACATCCTCCCCAAGCAGATCAAGGGGGATAGGAAGAGGCCATAAGACCTTCACAAACTCTTTTCCAGCTCAATGTGAACACTACTTAATCTTCCCGTTCACTTCATTCCATCCTGCCCCAATGCAGAATAAACCATCCCTTGAGTGTGTTCCAGAATGTTCTAGCACTTTCTGAGCTGTTTCCTCTGCTTCTTGTGTGCTTCTTGGGGGATAAGGCCATAGATCCCCCATGCCTGGTGTGGTGTCTGGCTTGTGGTAGGTGTGAATAAACATTTGTCATCTTGAGGTGACTAGCAATGAAGGAGCTGGAATGGCCACCTAAGAATACCTTAAAGGCTTAGCAACATGAAATGATGCCCTGAGGCCAGAAGGTGCGTTTTTTCATCCTCACACACTGCTATCTGCTGCACTAGAACAGGTGAATTTTGTGGTGGTCCCCACAGACTGGCACCCAGAGATGTGCCCCTCGCTATCCCTCCCCAAGCTCTGACTCTGGAACAAATGGCAGCAGACTTCTCTGGACACGAGTTATTAACTCTTTATTCCGTTAGTGACCAATACAAAGCACCACGGACACAGCAGGGGCCCTGCCCGAGAACCTAGGCAAGGCAAAGAAGGGGGACGCAGGGGACCTCTGGGGCCCAGGGCTGGCCTGGCCTAGGTGAGGGGGAAGCTTTCCCAGCCTGCCTCCGCCGGCAGCCATGAGAGAAACCACTGGGGAAGCGGCACTACTGAGTGAACAGTCAAACCACCTGTCAATGCTCCTCCTTCCCCAGAGCACCAGGGGTGCAGTGAGGAGAGGGCTTCTAGGGGGCCAGAGAGAGATCTGTGGGGTGGCTCAGGGTGGACACTGAGCTTCAGAGGGGACAGTGTGTGTGCGTGCGTGTGCGTATGCATGTGTGTGTGCGTGCGTGTGCGTGTGTGTGCGTGCGTGTGCGTATGCGTGTGCATGCGTGCGTGTGCGTATGCGTCTGTGTGTGCGCGTGCGTGTGCGTATGCGTGTGTGTGTGCGTAGGTGGGCAGATGCCTACACTACTTAGCATATGGGATTTAACTGCTGAGCCACACGACCTGCCTGGAGACAAAGGAGGCCAGGAACCAGGGACTCAGAGCGTCAGGGCCTGGGAGAGGGGCCTGGGGCAGAGGCCACCCACCCCACTGCTTGGTCTTGCAGAGGGCAGGCGGCTCCGCTGGAGCAGGTCTCGGGCAGACACCTCCCACAGGCCTGGGGGGAGGGGCCACCTCTGGCCCCACCCACCTCACGTATAGGCCATCTTGCTGCACACCCAGGGCCGGGTCATCAGACATTCCGTCGACACCAGCCTGGTGGGCTCCACGAAGACACACTCCCCTGGACCTGCGATGGTGAACCTGTGGCCAGGAGAGAAGACCAGGCGTTTATGATCTGGGACATTCAGCCCAAAACCCAGTGGCAGGGGAGGCCATGGAGGCCCTGAGGCCTATCCCTCCCTCACTTCATCACTGGAGCTGCCTTCTAGGACATTTGTGCTGACAGACTGTTCTAGCTTGGCATCCCACTGTCTTCCTACTCTGTGCACTGTAGCTTCAGCCACCCCGGCACGCCGCTCAGACACATCCTGGACACACACACACTTCCCCATTCTCCATGTCCTTGCAGGGTTGGCTCACAGGTCCCAGGCTCCATGACACCCAGTTCAGGGCCACTCTCTGCCCACCCTACCTCCCCACAGTCCCCTGCCTGCTCTGTGGGGCACTCCCACAGCCCCCTGGGGCCTCTACCTGTCTGTCCACACAGGTCCCCAAAGCAGTCAGCTCCTGAGCAGCGAGCTCTGTGTCCTCTCATCTTGGCCCCCTGCAATGCGCAGAGTCAAGCACACAGGAGGAGCTCCGCAGAGCTGGCTGAAGTCAGCTACCCCTCACAGGTTAGGGGCAGGCGGCAATAACCCCAATATGGGCTAACTGAGGCTGTGTTGCCCAGGAACTCATTGACATCACACACAGACGTGTGCGGTAGGAAGATTCCCCCCTACCTAAAATCACCCCTTTCCAGCCTCAGAGGTTTCTTCTTAACCTTAGTTGTTCACCCAGACCTCCGATCCCTGCCAAGGTTGGAGGTAGACCCTCACAACAGAGGGCATTGGAAGGACCCCAAGAAGGAGTGCAAGGGAAAGAACCTCTGCAGCGTCTGAGAAATGTGGCCAAAGGCCCCTTGGTTGCCAGGTGGTCAGGATGCCACAGACCCCAACCTGCAGGGCTCTGAGAGCAAGAAGCTTCCAGAAAGGCAGGGAGAGGGGTGGAAAGTGCAAGACCTGCTCAGCCACTCTGAGAGCAGACCTGAGAGGGGGACAGGAAAGTGGGTGAGAAACGGAAGAGGCACTGAGGCCAGAGTAAGGGGCAAAAATGAAGAGTGCTTGAGATAAGGAAAAGGAGGAGGAGGGGAAGCATCATGAATGCCCCTGCCTCCAGGGCTGCCATGGGCGTGACTGCCTAAGCCACCCTCAGGTGGGAGGGCAGCTGATGGCCACCTCTGGCAACCAGGAGGATCCGAGGGTCTCAGACGCCCTTCTGCTTTAGCCCTTGCCTTGGGGACGCTCACGTGTCATCATCATCGGGTTAGGAGCTGTGTTCCCCACCCCACCCCATGCCCTCCCGCTGGCACCTCAGAGCCTATTCCTCTAGCCACAGGGTCTGTTCTGAGGGTCCCACTCCCCTGTATGCACGTCCCTGCATTTCTCTAGGCCTAGACCACTCCTTTCCCCACGCCCCACACAGTCCCCACTGTACTGCCACAGCCACACATCTGCCACCCACTCCACCCATAACCATCACCCCCACACCACACACCAGACCCTGCATCACACACTCATTTCCACACCACGTGAGTCTTACAAAACCACCGCAGCACACGCCACCACCTCAGCAGTGCCCCCTCCATCAAGAGATGCGTTCGCCAGGAAAATGTGGCCTAGAACACTTCCGGGTGCCTGCCTTCACATCCCCTTTCTTCCACAGCTACGGTGCTTAGGTGCCAAGTGGCTGCCCAGGACGAAGGCGCGTCTCCCATCCTCCCTTGCGGCCAGGTGCTGCCATGTGACTAAGTTCTGGCCAATGGGGTGAGGCCATCCAGGGCCCTCCCTCCCGTTCGCTGTCCTATTGGGGCTGAATGGGATGTGGTTGTGCCAGAGTGGAGCTGAGGAGCGCCAGGCTGCGTAGATCGGGAACTCAAGGGTGGAGAGACCCTGGGAAGCTCCAATGGCTTCACAGGGCAGAGCCACCAAGCCAGGCTGGACTTTTGTGAGAGAGGGAGAAGTACAGGCATTTTCATGACTGGGTCTCTGGCGCACGCTGCGGGACCCCGAGACTAGTATCTCTAGCTAGCACAAAACCAAGGGCTTCTCTCTTCGGGAGCTGTGTCCAGGGGGTGAGTCAGGCCTTTCTCAGTCTAAGCTCGGTGGCCAGAAGATGAAGCCTCAGCTCACGTGTCTGGATCAAACGGGTCCCCGTTGACCCAGTGGAATTCGTCCCCAACTCTGCGTAGTCCAATCCAGGGCTCCCTCCGCGTGAACTTGAACATAAATTCCTGCACCGAGGAAAGAGGGACACCTGCGGTCAGATGCGGTCTCCTGTCACATCCCAAGACAAACCTCAGCTTGGAAGATACTGGCTCTCGGGAGGTACAGACGCCAGGCGAGTGACTGCTGTCTCGCTGCATCCCGAAAGTGAGGAGCTAGGCTTAGAGGGTCCTCCGCAGTCACACTGCCAGAGTTCGGCTCCGAGCTGCTCGCTGACCTCACAGCAATTGCCTCCGACCGCTTGAAAGGGACCCTGGCTCTGTGTGCACACCCACTGGCCAGGAAGGCCCTACAGGGCTTGCCCTCCTAGCTCAGCAGACCAGCATTCCTGATTTGCAGGAAGCTTGGTGATTGCCCACTGGATGGAGGATCTGGGACAAATCTCAATGCTCAGGTTGGTTGTCCTATCTGCAAATTTCTGGGACTTTCCCTGCAGACTGGGGATATCATACTGTGTATCAAAGGCAAACAGAAGTGATTTTTAGATTATCTTCTATTTTGGTTAACACCACTGTTAACCTCAAAATCCAAAACAGCCAATAGACTCCATTAATTGTATTTCTTTCATGTTTCTGTTGCTAAAACTGTTTTGGATGTTAAGTGAGAGACCATATCCTGATTTGGATCTTTAGAAAATGACAACGTGTTTTTACATTTCACAATGCATTTATAATTTGTAATTCTTTTTTCCTTTTTTTTTTTTTTTTTTTTT